ACCTACACTGGCTGGGTATATGTTTTTCATTCTGCCTTCACCCTGGTCATGCCGCACCTCACTCCCTCTCCACTCTCCTCACAGCCTCGCAGCAGACTGGCCGGACACCATGCAGATAGTGCGCCTCGTGTCACAGGAGTGCATGAACAACAAGTGAGTCGCAGGAGTGCATGAACAACAAGTGAGTCGCAGGAGTGCATGAACAACAAGTGAGTCGCAGGAGTGCATGAACAACAAGTGAGTCGCAGGAGTGCATGAACAACAAGTGAGTCGCAGGAGTGCATGAACAACAAGTGAGTCGCAGGAGTGCATGAACAACAAGTGAGTCGCAGGAGTGCATGAACAACAAGTGAGTCGCAGGAGTGCATGAACAACAAGTGAGTTACAGGAGTGCATGAACAACAAGTGAGTCGCAGGAGTGCATGAACAACAAGTGAGTCGCAGGAGTGCATGAACAACAAGTGAGTCGCAGGAGTGCATGAACAACAAGTGAGTTACAGGAGTGCATGAACAACAAGTGAGTCGCAGGAGTGCATGAACAACAAGTGAGTCGCAGGAGTGCATGAACAACAAGTGAGTCGCAGGAGTGCATGAACAACAAGTGAGTCGCAGGAGTGCATGAACAACAAGTGAGTCGCAGGAGTGCATGAACAACAAGTGAGTTACAGGAGTGCATGAACAACAAGTGAGTCGCAGGAGTGCATGAACAACAAGTGAGTCGCAGGAGTGCATGAACAACAAGTGAGTCGCAGGAGTGCATGAACAACAAGTGAGTCGCAGGAGTGCATGAACAACAAGTGAGTTACAGGAGTGCATGAACAACAAGTGAGTCGCAGGAGTGCATGAACAACAAGTGAGTCGCAGGAGTGCATGAACAACAAGTGAGTCGCAGGAGTGCATGAACAACAAGTGAGTCGCAGGAGTGCATGAACAACAAGTGAGTCGCAGGAGTGCATGAACAACAAGTGAGTCGCAGGAGTGCATGAACAACAAGTGAGTCGCAGGAGTGCATGAACAACAAGTGAGTCGCAGGAGTGCATGAACAACAAGTGAGTCGCAGGAGTGCATGAACAACAAGTGAGTTACAGGAGTGCATGAACAACAAGTGAGTCGCAGGAGTGCATGAACAACAAGTGAGTCGCAGGAGTGCATGAACAACAAGTGAGTCGCAGGAGTGCATGAACAACAAGTGAGTCGCAGGAGTGCATGAACAACAAGTGAGTTACAGGAGTGCATGAACAACAAGTGAGTCGCAGGAGTGCATGAACAACAAGTGAGTCGCAGGAGTGCATGAACAACAAGTGAGTCGCAGGAGTGCATGAACAACAAGTGAGTCGCAGGAGTGCATGAACAACAAGTGAGTTACAGGAGTGCATGAACAACAAGTGAGTCGCAGGAGTGCATGAACAACAAGTGAGTCGCAGGAGTGCATGAACAACAAGTGAGTCGCAGGAGTGCATGAACAACAAGTGAGTCGCAGGAGTGCATGAACAACAAGTGAGTCGCAGGAGTGCATGAACAACAAGTGAGTCGCAGGAGTGCATGAACAACAAGTGAGTCGCAGGAGTGCATGAACAACAAGTGAGTCGCAGGAGTGCATGAACAACAAGTGAGTCGCAGGAGTGCATGAACAACAAGTGAGTCGCAGGAGTGCATGAACAACAAGTGAGTCGCAGGAGTGCATGAACAACAAGTGAGTCGCAGGAGTGCATGAACAACAAGTGAGTCGCAGGAGTGCATGAACAACAAGTGAGTCGCAGGAGTGCATGAACAACAAGTGAGTCGCAGGAGTGCATGAACAACAAGTGAGTCGCAGGAGTGCATGAACAACAAGTGAGTCGCAGGAGTGCATGAACAACAAGTGAGTCGCAGGAGTGCATGAACAACAAGTGAGTCGCAGGAGTGCATGAACAACAAGTGAGTCGCAGGAGTGCATGAACAACAAGTGAGTCGCAGGAGTGCATGAACAACAAGTGAGTCGCAGGAGTGCATGAACAACAAGTGAGTCGCAGGAGTGCATGAACAACAAGTGAGTCGCAGGAGTGCATGAACAACAAGTGAGTCGCAGGAGTGCATGAACAACAAGTGAGTCGCAGGAGTGCATGAACAACAAGTGAGTCGCAGGAGTGCATGAACAACAAGTGAGTCGCAGGAGTGCATGAACAACAAGTGAGTCGCAGGAGTGCATGAACAACAAGTGAGTCGCAGGAGTGCATGAACAACAAGTGAGTCGCAGGAGTGCATGAACAACAAGTGAGTCGCAGGAGTGCATGAACAACAAGTGAGTCGCAGGAGTGCATGAACAACAAGTGAGTCGCAGGAGTGCATGAACAACAAGTGAGTCGCAGGAGTGCATGAACAACAAGTGAGTCGCAGGAGTGCATGAACAACAAGTGAGTCGCAGGAGTGCATGAACAACAAGTGAGTCGCAGGAGTGCATGAACAACAAGTGAGTCGCAGGAGTGCATGAACAACAAGTGAGTCGCACTGCTGCACACACAATATGCGTGGCACAAATTAATGGTACATACTCAACTGAGGTGCATCTCATCTCAAGCTGTAGTTGGCGAGTTATTCAGTAGGAAGCGAGCTCTATTACCACTCATGAGGTCCCTGCGAGCTAAATTCATCAAAAGATGAGCAGCAGGTAAGCTGTTCCAAGAGGCCATAGTTCTATGCTTGTAATCCCTGCTGCTCCCAGATGCCCTTCATCTCTTGATCCACTCCTGAACTCATTCCGTCTCTGCCGCTCTTTTCCACTCTCCCCTCTCCACCCACCCCAGGGAGCTAGCAGGGAAGGCGGAGCTGCTAGTATTCCGCCCCATGTCATCACACGTGTTCCTGCAGCAGATGGCTGAGAAGAAACTCGTGAGTGCAGCAGATGGCTGAGAAGAAACTCGTGAGTGCAGCAGATGGCTGAGAAGAAACTCGTGAGTGCGCCACAGTCATGAGACAGCTCGTAGCTGCGGTGGGAGCAATGTGCCGTGCATTGCAATGCTAGGCACTCCCTTGAATATGTTCATAAGGAAGATTGCTCGAAAGGAATACGTGAGGTGTTGAGCAAGGGATTTGAGGGTGTGAGAGAGAGTGCATACATGAACCAATCCATTCATTCAATTGATGCTTTGTGCTTCCATGGTTCTTTGCCTTGCACCATCCCTGCCATGATGCATCACACCCCCGCACTTTCATTCGACACACACACATATCCAGCATCCATCTCCCCCGTCATCTCATGCATGTGTGCGCGCACACACGCACACACATGCACAACCCACCCATCCCTCCTCTCCCCCTCCCCCCCCACACACACATGCTCGCATGGAACACTGTTTATGTTCATGTGCCTCTTCGCTGTGGATGCATGTGCATGTATCCATTTGGCCCTGCATGTCCATGTATCCATTTGGCCATGCATGTCCATGTATCCATTTGGCCATGCATGTCCATGTATCCATTTGGCCATGCATGTCCATGTATCCATTTGGCCATGCATGCTCGTGCATCCATCAGTGCACCGTCATTCAGCTGCCGTCTCAAACCCTACTCCTCGGCACCGTACCGGACCGCTCCAGCCGCCTTGTTGGCATGCTCTTTCCCAAGGTACTTCACTCACGTTTTCCGTTGTTTTGGCGTCTTCCATGTTTGTTCCTCGCTGTGAACTAGCTGTGAACTAGGACCAAGACTCCATCTCGCTGTGAACTAGGACCAAGACTCCATCTCGCTGTGAACTAGGACCAAGACTCCATCTCGCTGTGAACTAGGACCAAGACTCCATCTCGCTGTGAACTAGGACCAAGACTCCATCTCGCTGTGAACTAGGACCAAGACTCCATCTCGCTGTGAACTAGGACCAAGACTCCATCTCGCTGTGAACTAGGACCAAGACTCCATCTCGCTGTGAACTAGGACCAAGACTCCATCTCGCTGTGAACTAGGACCAAGACTCCATCTCGCTGTGAACTAGGACCAAGACTCCATCTCGCTGTGAACTAGGACCAAGACTCCATCTCGCTGTGAACTAGGACCAAGACTCCATCTCGCTGTGAACTAGGACCAAGACTCCATCTCGCTGTGAACTAGGACCAAGACTCCATCTCGCTGTGAACTAGGACCAAGACTCCATCTCGCTGTGAACTAGGACCAAGACTCCATCTCGCTGTGAACTAGGACCAAGACTCCATCTCGCTGTGAACTAGGACCAAGACTCCATCTCGCTGTGAACTAGGACCAAGACTCCATCTCGCTGTGAACTAGGACCAAGACTCCATCTCGCTGTGAACTAGGACCAAGACTCCATCTCGCTGTGAACTAGGACCAAGACTCCATCTCGCTGTGAACTAGGACCAAGACTCCATCTCGCTGTGAACTAGGACCAAGACTCCATCTCGCTGTGAACTAGGACCAAGACTCCATCTCGCTGTGAACTAGGACCAAGACTCCATCTCGCTGTGAACTAGGACCAAGACTCCATCTCGCTGTGAACTAGGACCAAGACTCCATCTCGCTGTGAACTAGGACCAAGACTCCATCTCGCTGTGAACTAGGACCAAGACTCCATCTCGCTGTGAACTAGGACCAAGACTCCATCTCGCTGTGAACTAGGACCAAGACTCCATCTCGCTGTGAACTAGGACCAAGACTCCATCTCGCTGTGAACTAGGACCAAGACTCCATCTCGCTGTGAACTAGGACCAAGACTCCATCTCGCTGTGAACTAGGACCAAGACTCCATCTCGCTGTGAACTAGGACCAAGACTCCATCTCGCTGTGAACTAGGACCAAGACTCCATCTCGCTGTGAACTAGGACCAAGACTCCATCTCGCTGTGAACTAGGACCAAGACTCCATCTCGCTGTGAACTAGGACCAAGACTCCATCTCGCTGTGAACTAGGACCAAGACTCCATCTCGCTGTGAACTAGGACCAAGACTCCATCTCGCTGTGAACTAGGACCAAGACTCCATCTCGCTGTGAACTAGGACCAAGACTCCATCTCGCTGTGAACTAGGACCAAGACTCCATCTCGCTGTGAACTAGGACCAAGACTCCATCTCGCTGTGAACTAGGACCAAGACTCCATCTCGCTGTGAACTAGGACCAAGACTCCATCTCGCTGTGAACTAGGACCAAGACTCCATCTCGCTGTGAACTAGGACCAAGACTCCATCTCGCTGTGAACTAGGACCAAGACTCCATCTCGCTGTGAACTAGGACCAAGACTCCATCTCGCTGTGAACTAGGACCAAGACTCCATCTCGCTGTGAACTAGGACCAAGACTCCATCTCGCTGTGAACTAGGACCAAGACTCCATCTCGCTGTGAACTAGGACCAAGACTCCATCTCGCTGTGAACTAGGACCAAGACTCCATCTCGCTGTGAACTAGGACCAAGACTCCATCTCGCTGTGAACTAGGACCAAGACTCCATCTCGCTGTGAACTAGGACCAAGACTCCATCTCGCTGTGAACTAGGACCAAGACTCCATCTCGCTGTGAACTAGGACCAAGACTCCATCTCGCTGTGAACTAGGACCAAGACTCCATCTCGCTGTGAACTAGGACCAAGACTCCATCTCGCTGTGAACTAGGACCAAGACTCCATCTCGCTGTGAACTAGGACCAAGACTCCATCTCGCTGTGAACTAGGACCAAGACTCCATCTCGCTGTGAACTAGGACCAAGACTCCATCTCGCTGTGAACTAGGACCAAGACTCCATCTCGCTGTGAACTAGGACCAAGGCTCCATCTTAACAGCACGGTGGACTTTCCTTCAGAAATTCTCACCACGCGAATTGTTTGCAAGAAGGCACAGCATGTGCATGGCACAGAGAAGTCTGCTACTTCTCCTGGGGTCCCCTTCGTTCCTCACCATGCCTCTGCATTCCCTGGGGTCCCCTTCTTTGCTTCCCTTTGCTTATTTCTTTGTTTATCCTTTCTGCTTCGCCTCTTCCTTCCCGTGTAGTGTTTACTTCTCTCCACCTTTTCTGACATCCGGCATTCTCTTATCTCTCTTTCTCATTTCCTTCTCCTTGCAACTGTGCTGTGCCACTACCGTGTCGCTGTGCCATGCCCCCATGACATGATGACAGGACATGGTGCAGTTCCAAGGGGCCCGCCCTCCACAACAGCAACAGCCGCAGCCGCAGCAGCAACAGCAACCGATGCAATAGTAACCGTTGCAGCAACAGATCCAGCAGTTGCGGCAACAATTGCAATAGCACACGTATAAAAAGTAGCGATCAGATTCTGTCGTGTGGTGTTTTCGCACTTGGCAGCGTCGAAGCGCTCTAAACGCCCTTCTCCAACTACAAAAACCGTGGGTCGGAGTTTATTTCCCTCCACCCAATTTTCTCGATTTTCAAACGGCTCCATCCACCCAGTTGTAATGAGAACGATGCCAATTCATAAGAATAAGATAGCAAGCTTTCTCAATATATCCCCTACTGAGCTAGTAGCATTCATAAAGGATCTCTGATGTTCTTTCATTGATCCATCTCCATTGCCTTCTCTTTTCGAAGCAGCTTTCTTGACAAGGTGCTGTTGCTGTTGGAATAAACAAATATCTTATTAAGTGTTCCTGAATTTTGCAGTAATGCACCAGCCTCATTTTAGAGGATGCATTCTCCGACATTATTGTGACATACCCATACTCGTTCAGAGTTCGCGAGAATGTGGAGGTAGAACAGTCGAGAGTCGATAGTATGGTAACCAATATGGTATCACTACAGCCTACAGTCAAATGTGATATATGTGTAGGCTGTAGTGGGGTAGCCAATATGGGGTATAGCCCCTTTAGGGTTTCATACTTGTACCCAACCTTCTGCTAGTTCATTCATTCCTGCCTATAGTTTCTGACATGGTATCAGAGCAGTAGGTCCGTAGGACCGTTTTTTTTTTTCGGGCCCACCTACCGCTACCCTACGTTTTGACCTACGCTGCGCAGCCTGCGCGCGCCCTGCCTTGACTGTGACTGTGACTGTGACTGTGCCTTGCCTTGACTGTGACGTGCTGCGCTGCGCGCGCCGTCCTGCAGCCGTCGTGCTGCCCGCTGCTGCCCCGCGCGCTGCCCCGCGTTGCGCTGCCCCGCGCACGCCCTGCCCTGCCCCGCGCACGCCCTGCCCTGCCCCGCGTCGCGCTGCCCCGCGCACGCCCTGCCCTGCCCCGCGTTGCGCTGCCCCGCGCACGCCCTGCCCTGCTTCGCGTTGCGCTGCCCCGCGCACGCTCTGCTCTGCCTGGCGTCGCGCGCCCCGGCTGCCCGTCGCGCCGTGTGTCCCTGCAGCCCATCGCGTCGCCCGTCTGCCCTGCCAGTGCCCGTCGCGTCGCCCGTGCGGGCTGCCCCAGCCCGTCGCGTCGCCCGTCTGCCCTGCCTCTGCCCGTCGCGTCGCCCGTACGGGCTGTCCCAGCCCGTCGCGTCGCCCGTCCGCCCTGCCTGCCTGTCGCGTCGCCCGTGCGGTCTGCCTGCCCGTCGCGTCGCCCGTCAGTCTTGCAGCCCGCGCGTCGCGCGTCGCGCCCTGCTGCCCCGCGCGTCGCGCCCTGCTGCGGCCCGTGCGTTGCGCCCTGTTGCCCTTCACAGCGCGCGCCTTGCTACCCGTGCCGCCCAGCCCGAGCCGCGCCGCCCAGCCCGAGCCGCCCTGCCCAACCTGATCCGCCCTTCTGCTCGTGCTACTGCTGCTGCTGGTGGAGGTGCTGCTAGGAGTGCTGGAGGTGCTGCAGCCCAGCCTCACCGAGCCGCTCTGCTGCTCTTACTGCTGCTGCTGCTGCTCGTGCTACTGCCCTCCCTCCGTACTGCCCTACTGGTCGCGCGCCTCCTTGCTTGCCCGCTATGACTTCACTTCGTAGTAGTGGTGAGAGTGGTGACGGCGGTGGTGGCGGCAGTGGGAGTGGTGGCGGCCGTAGTAGCAGTCGCTGTGGAGCTGTTCGGTGGGGAGTGTCTGGCGGTGGCCAGATGCAGCTGCAGCGGCGTCCGCGCGAGACCCTTACGCCCCAGCAGCTTCGTGAGTGGTACGCCAGGTGGTGTGCTGGCGGCGGCCGTCGTGGCAGTCTCAGTGGAGCTGGTCAGTGCGGAGTTCCTGGCGGTGGCCAGATGCAGCTGCAGCGGCGTCCGAGCGAGACCCTTACGCGCCAGCAGCTTCGTGAGTGGTACGCTCAGAGTGGGGGGTGTAGGAGTACTGCCCGCTGCCCGTACGTCATTCGCACAGGTGATCGGGCTGGTCAGACTTGCGGGACGCTCTCTACCACACAGGGTCGCTGCTTCGCTCGTCTGAGTGACGCCTGGCGTGCAGTGTTTGGCGACGAGGCTGAGCTCCCCCCCTGGCTAGAGCTGCTGCGCAACAAGGTGGATATCTTTGCTCTAGACTATGACACTATCCTTACTGCCATGTATGCTCTGACTGGTAGTACTGAGGGTGACTGTTACCTGTGTGTGCCCCCTGATCCTGGTATAGCGGCTGCTGCTCTAGGTGCTCGTGAGTCTGCTCTCTCTGGTACTGCTCCTGCTGAGGCCTTGCACACCTTTACACTTGACTCTGGTGCATCCCGTTGTTTCTTGCGCGACAGTACCACAGTAACTCCCCTCCCTGCACCTGTCCCTGTCTCACTG